AGAGAGAGAGAGAGAGAGAGAGAGAGAGAGAGAGAGAGAGAGAGAGAGAGAGAGAGAGAGAGAGAGAGAGAGAGAGAGAGAGATTGCATTGGGAAGTTGCCTACACCATGAATGCATCACCCGTCATATGTGTTTTTGTGAGCGAAGCTGCAACAGGTCATCTAATACGATGTGAAATTCGGTTACGACTTAGGAAGTTAGGATTACAAACTACAGACCCGGATCCCAGACTCAAAGAAAAATGGAGGGAGATCCTGAACCTAGAACTTACTGACCCCGTTTCCATCCCCTGGGCGAAGTGCCCGTCCATCAGACAGGTCTGGATCCGAAACATGCGCTCGTAGAACATGCATCCCTGCCCGTCAACCAATGGCTCCACAAGAAGAGGAAACATACGGATCCCGACAGCTCTGAATAATGTGTTATGTGCACAGACAACAGACCAGAACACATACCCCACTGCCTCTTGTACTGCACTGAAGCAGCCTGGATATGGAACAAACCTCGCGACCTATGGTCCCTCCTCTTCTCATCACCCCCTCTCTCCACATCTCCTCAAAACATCCTCCTTCTACCCAACAGTACTAACAATCTCAAAGGCGGCAAGGAAATCTGGTTTCATCTTCTCAGGATGCTGGCTTTGTGGGTGATCTGGAAAAGGAGGTGTACCAAGACTATCGAGAGAACTGAGGTGGCAAGGGAAGAAATGTGGGCCCTACTGTTGAGCATATATCCACTACCCAGTACCGACTTATTGTAGACCATACTCGCAAGCGCATGCCGTGCGCGCATTGGTATATGTGTGGTGCACAGGGTGTGTGCGCACCAAATAAATGACAATTTTTTATTTTTTTTTTAATTCCCGAAAATTTGTTTTGGGACTCAGTTGGAAGCCTTCGAAAAAAGACCTCTCGAAACTCGATAGGAACCTCACAAATGGCACCTTCCTCGCACTCGCTAGATACAGCTGTTCACCATATGAGGAGAATACAGGCTGTGAAGGCGAATTGCACCTTCCTCGCACTCAAAAAAAGTGAACCCCCAAATCGAATCGACCATTCACTGATGACCCACCACCAAAAAATTGGACCATTTCTGAGATGATTTCTTCGTTTCATGTACGTCATGTTTGTGAAGGCACCATGCTGATCTTCTCTGTATTCTTCCAGTTTTAATGTATGTCCCAAAGGACTCTTGGCTGAGACACTTCCTCAAAATCAGGATTCTTTGAATTAAAAAAAAAAACGAGTCACTAGACTCACTACCAACGGGCCTATCTCAGTTGGGACACTCATAACTGTTGAAATGCAGACTGAGTTCGAATCTGGATGGAATCAGATGAGTAATAAATTAATAATAATGCTGGATTTACCTGGCGCCGGTCAGCTCAAAGTTGATATCTCAGGGCTGTCCCCACCAGCATAGCAGAGCTCACGAGGAAGTCCAAACTCGAATGGGGCCTTTCGCCACAGAGAGCGGCTTTGTCTCTCAATTGCCTCATCCTTCACTTTTGACTGTGTCTGTCCCCTCCCTCAATACTCTCTGAGTGCTTGTCAGCCTTGCCGAAGATTCCAACTAGCGCCAGGTGTTATTACGCCCTCGACTTCCCCATGGTTGCTGGCCATGGCCTACGCATCCATCCTCAACCATCACCATTTCCAGCCCCGGTACTGCCACCTTCTATCTCAGCCTGGGTGGTTTTGGGCACACAATAGGAATGGAATGGTGGGGACCGTCTGTACACGGAGTTAGCGCCCAAAACGTCCACAAAGACAAAGCGCTGACCAAAAAGAGAAAAACAAGATCAAGAAAAGAAACAAAACGAAAAGAACACAACAGAAAACCTGCAGAATCTGGAGATGCCCAGTTGATTCGAGTTTTTAATTTCTGAAATTTTTCTCATTCTACTACGATTCCTGTATGATTCCTCATTTTAACTTGGAAATTTGGAAATGCTTGTTTGTGAATTTCTTATCATTATTTTCTTAATTGCTTTTGCAGGAGCTCGTACAACTGGTCGGAATTCTGCAACGCAGGAGCTCTTCACTGTGTCCCTATGGAGATTGCACTGAAGATTGTAAAGAAAATCAAAGCTGGAGAGAGGTTTGCTGCTTACATTCTCATCCCACTGTTTCCTGAAGGTGACCCAGCAGCTGCTGCAGGCCAGGAAATTCTTTATTGGCAGGTAAACCAGGATGTTGTGATGAATCGATGGTCAGTGCAGCTCATACCAAGGTTGCAGGGCCTACCGAGTTGCTGGAAAATCGTATCGGCCCCCTAACCAATTCTACACTTGCCTCTGGGCGCTAAACGACCCCCCAGTGTATCCACCCTCTAACTCACAGTCCTGCCTCTGGCCATCACTCTATTCCCACCTTGTCCCTGTCCAAGACACAGCCACACACACACGGCCTGACAGTACTGCACCTGATGTGAACATAAGAAGTACTGTGAATGGCTTTTATGGGAAGAGGACTGGAACTCTATCCTGCTCCACAGAACTACATACCTGACATGGACCCAAATATTTGTGTGCATCCTGCATCATCCGGGTCATTTCACCGCTGTTACCTTCGTGGATAATTCATGGACCCTGCGGGACAATGGCGGTAGGGTGCACATGGTGGGAAATATTTCCGCTTTTGATCACCGAGTGGCAGAATCCCACTCGGTCTGGCTGGTCAATCAGGAAGAGTATGTGGATGTGCATCTGCGATCTCTACTGCATCCAGAGTACAATCCAGCTCACCCTCCCCCTTCCCCTGAACATCGCCAGGCAGCGTCCCTTGCCTGTGTGGATCGGACAGATTCCGCCGCGAATAGGGAAGGGGCCCCTCCAGAGGGCAGTGGCTGTGCCATGCCATTGTGTCTCTGCACAGCTACAGTTCGGTTGACATGCGCACAAAATAGTCTCTGCTCTGAACACTATGAAGGGATGGTCACTGCCAGCCTCTGCTGCAGAAACTGTGACCTGATTTCTTGCACGCATGGCCCCCCACCCCTTTATTACTTGCCCGATATGTCCTTGTGTCCTTGACTTGCCATGCTTAACTTACTGGGAACGTCAGCCTGCTCTCCTGCGGGCATGTCAGCAACATGCCATGTGTCGTCAATGTTTCCAGGAAGCTGCCGTGGAAAGTATGTGACGCTACTGCATGGGCTATCCCTCATGCCATCACCCACCACATCCTCTTACCTTCTTCCCCCAAATACAACGTACGGTCATTATAGCTGTATTTGAGGCATCTTTCAGTCTAGATACGGCTAGAATGACCGTATGTTGTATTCGGGGGAAGAAGGTAGCATGTCCCACATTCAGCGTTGGACATACAGCTGCTGCAGCCGTAGTCGGATCTCCTTCATCCTTGCCGGGCAAACAATGGATGCAGCAGCCTGAGTTGGAAAATAGACTCTCACATGAACCACCAACAGCCGCCAGGGCGAGCTATTGCAGACCGGATCTTGCAACAGCTAAACACCCTTACTATGGATCAGCCCCCGTCTTTGCCTGTCAATAGAGAGGGAATACGGCTGCGGGAACCCAGGAAACTTGCTCGATGTTACTCTGTAATGGTCCGCCTGAGATCCGGCTAGCATGTGATCCACATGCTCTGTGTCGTGAGGATTATGAAGGTGTAGCGGCTGTAGCCTGTGCAAGTTTTTGTTCTCATAACTAGGATGACAGTCGACTTTGCAGTCATGTACGGCACCCTGACATGTCGTGTCCCATTTGTAGGCGGGCTGGAGCGGCAATGCCTGTACAATTGCAGTCAGCGTGCCTCTGTGTTCCTACGTTGCCTGTGACGTCAGTCTACGCGATGCCATCCGATGCAGCAACTGCAACTGCGAGAATTGGATGCGGTGCTTTCACAGTCCATACTTGTTGGTCTGTAGCGGTGGTCACTGCAATAGGCAATGGGTGCTCCTCTCAAAATTCCCTGCAAGCCAAACACTGACTTGCCTCTTGTGCCATTCTACTGCCGTCTGCTCCAGCGGTGAGTTTTGAGAACCCTGTGAAGTTTTCCTTTCTTCTGTTCTGTTCTTTGCCCCTCCCTGTACTGCCACTTGCTTCATAGAGAACTATTTCCTCCCTCCTCTTGTGTACTACCAGTAAATGCATACAAATGAGCATAATTAAGCGAACAGACGAAACATAAGCTGAAGATCTGAGGAAAATGAGCATGAGTATACCTCCCCCTTACTTTGCCGCATTTCATAGCGTGCAATCGGGCTGTCATGGCACACGGGGATGTGGGCAGCTCGCGCTCAACCACAATCAACGTGTCAATCCTTGTACGTGAGAGGCGCCATGAAAGGTGAGCTGCAAGAACAAGCAAAAGGGGTACCTCTAAGAAAGCCAAAGTAAAGATAGCCAAGAAAGGGATATATAAAGGAGCTATTATATTTCACGGTGCTTGCTATAGAGAGGTAAAACTGTTGACTGCCTCATCTTTAGTGTGCTTCCACTGTCTGCTAATCATCTGGGTGGAACAGGGCTGTTGCGGGGACAATGTACAACACACACGGGTGACAGAGTTAGCACACGGACACAGACTTGGGCTCAGCAAGCACACAGTGCATGCACGTTAGTGGCAGCTCAGACACACACACTTAAAAAACAAAGCAAATCTTAGCAAAACAGACTTGACTCGGAATGTCAGCATTTCGGACCCAAAGAACATCATTTTCTCAGAAATTGCAGGAATCTCCGACAGTGATTTTTTGGGGGTCATTGCAGAACCCAAATCTGGAAACCAGTCTTGCAACTGAGTTTGTATATGTCTGGCTGGATGGCTATGGCCGCTAGCAACGACAAGAAAGGATGAACTCTTCCACTTTGGACCCTCAGGGCTCTTTCTCCTTGCTGAACGTCTTCTCTCTCCCTTAACAGTGTCTCTGGTACATGTATAGCTATGTTGTTCAGTGTGTGTTGGCTACTCACTGCCTACCGTCTTCACCCGAATAGAGCGCCCGCCGCCTGGTCATTATAGCTGTATTTGGGGCAACTTTCAGACCAGATGCAGCAACAATGACCGGGCATTTTATTCGGGTGAAGACTGTAGTCTCTTTCTATCATAGCGTGCTTCACTTGTTACATTTTCACTTCTTGGTGCAGCAGTGCTTCCACACAAAGCACGAGCGAATGAATGATTGATGAAGGCAACAACTGTTGTGCTTCTATATTTGACGATTCAGCGTTCAGCCGTTGGGCATGCAGTCCTGGTTGACTCAGTAGCTTGCTGGCTTAAACCACCAGGACTTGGCCCATAGATCGGCCACAGGTACTGCACGTTAACGCGCCGCAACTTTTGGGGCTCGGCCTCCGAAGCAAAATGGCTCGAGGCGCCAGCCAAAAGGAGGTCGCACTAGTCATTCTCAGGCTCGGCTTCAGTAGATGGGTGAAGTACTGGTGGTTTAAATCCGTCAGCGTACCTGGGACCATGAGCTGCAGACTACTGTCTTCCTCCCAATAGAATGTACGGTCATCATAGCTGTATTTAGGGCAACTTTCAGTCTAGGTGCAGCAAGAATGACGTATGTTCTATTCGGGAGAAGACGGTAACTCAGCTGGACTTGAACAGATGAGCCTACCGTACCCTATGATACCTGGAAGTTAACGGACTTACAGGACTGGACCTTTGTTGTCGACTGCACCCTGTGCTACAGAAAAAATTCTACTTGCGACCGGATTGACTAACTACCAGCCCCTTTCCTGAACGCTTTGACTCGACAGTGCTGATGCATTGCGATTGAAGGTTACTTGCATATATCTCAAACCTGAAATTGTCCCACGTTTATGGGGGTTTAGTGCAGAGTGTGGTTTTCTGGCAATTGGATGGAAATTGTGATTGGGAAAATCCGTGTGTTCATGAACAGATGATATCATTCCACTCAACCTGGAGATGGGAGTTAACATCAGATTTTTATTTTCTTTTTCTTTTTTGGCAAGACAATGAAGACATGCTACCTCGGGCCGTAGTACTATTTTGGGGAACATCAGTTCGGTTGCTTATCCACCGGCAAATCTCAACAAGGTTACCCGCTCGAACGCCTCCCCACGTTATGGCCCCGGAGAGCCCTAACAGCATTGATTGCTTCCTGTCAGGAAGGATTGACTGTCATTGTTGCACACACCTTTTGCACTCCCTCCCCGCTATTGACCATGTCCTTTGGCACCAACGGGCCTGGCTCAGTTGGTACACCCACAAACTGTTGGAATACAGACCCAAGCTCGAATCCAGATAGAATCAGACGAGCAGAGTGAATCTCCACTATTAACTATGCCCTCTGGCACCAACGGGCCTAGGTCAGTTGGTACACCCACGAACTGTTGAAACTTGAAATACAGACCCAAGCTCGAATCAAGGTAGAAATTTGTAGAATCAGATGACCAGAGCGACGTCATTCTGTATTACGTTGGGTCCAGTCCGTTCAATGATAATATCTCAGGGCCGTCGTTCTCATTAAAAAAAAAAAAACTATGCCCTTTGGAAGAAACAGGCACAGAAATCTGTAAGAAAAAAAACTGTCCTTTGGAAGAAACAGGCACAAAAATCTGCCCGTTTCTTAAACAGGCACAAAAATCTGCCCGTTTCTTAAACAGGCACAGAAATCTGTAAGGAAAAAAACTACGTCCTTTGGAAGAAACAGGCACAAAAGTCTGACCGATACTTCCAAGGGACAGAGGTGTCCAGTGACCGCTCACTATCATTCTGTTATCTGAATTGATTTGGCAATGTGCTGTGCTCTTGATCTTTTGCAGAATTTAACAATAAAGATGATGTACAAGATGATTGGAGATACTCTGCAGGACGTGGGCAGTGATGCTCATCCTAGAGACTATCTTAACTTCTATTGCCTGGGGAATCGTGAGCTGCGAAGGGCGGGAGAGCCAGAACCGTCACTGCCGTTTGCCAACGAAGCACACAAGGCAGCATATAAGAATCGGCGTTTCATGATCTATGTTCACTCAAAGATGATGATAGTGGATGACGAGTACATCGTCGTTGGATCAGCAAATATCAACCAAAGGTCGATGGCAGGGACCAGGGATACGGAGATTGCTATGGGAGCTTACCAGCCAGCGTTCACTGTTGCGAGGGTTGGTGGCAAATACCCCAAAGGCGAGGTGAGTTTCTCCTCGAATCAGAATAGTTGTGGAACGTCCTCTTGATTACTCTACCCTACACGGCGTTTCTACCCCAACCCTGCACATGTTATTTCTTTTCTTTTTTCGCTCGTTCCTTTCTTTTATTTTTTAACAGATGGATGAACCCCTATCATTATTCAATTATTAATTTATTATTGTATTCATCTGATTCAGTGAGGATTGGAATGCATGATCTGTTAATTAACACTTTCGTTTGTGTACCATTCGGCTGCGTGCGCTCGGTCTGCACATGTTTCTTCTCCATGGTCCTTGAGCTCACTTTGTTTGCTAGAAGAGAGAATCCAGTCTAAACAGGAGAGTGAATTGCCTAGCGTTCCGGAACAAGGTTCTGGAAACACTCAGACCCAGATAGCTCAGCATCCTGCGCGCTGTGTAACAACAACATACCCGAAGACATCCCCCACTGCATTCTCTTCTGTTCGGAAGCGACCTGGATCTGGAACAAGGTTCTGGAACTTTGGTCGATCCTCTTCGCAACACCACCCCCCAACATTCCTCCTTGTCCTACTCTTCACTAACACCCCTATGTGATGACTCGTCCATACATGGACTGGAACACACAGCTGATTTCTGAGTTTTGCCCATAGACTGAATGACCTGCTGAGTTTCCCGCTTGCTACTAAGTCCGTGTGTGCACGCTTGCTGGACTGCATGTTTGTCTGAGTGCTGGGTGGCTTGAGTGTGTGTGTGACCATTGGTTGGCCTGGGTGTGTGTGCGACCGTGCCTGTCTGAGTGCTGGTTGGCATGAGTATGTGTGTGGCCCGTCAGGGTACTTGCTCGTTCGTTGGGCCTTCAGGGCCGGTGCTTACGTGTGGCCGTGACATTGAGGGGTTGCAGCGGGGAAAAACACTCAAGTAGCGGGTAGGCCGGTACCGCACCTGGAAGGGGTAGATGTGCAGGTATCGGAGGCCGAGCAGAAGAAGACAAAAGTGGCATTTTTAGAGGCCCAATAGTTGTAGGTTAGGTCTAGGCGGATATCAGTCCAACCAGTCTGGGTCTCGGGCCTGTACGGGCAATATCAGAGTCTGCAATGATGTTTCCCTCCGAAACGGAGGAGGTACCGGTTGCTTGGGAGGCCGAGCGGCCTGGAAGTCACCGCCCAAGAGGCAAAGCAGGCCGCTATATCTTCTGGCCGGGTGGAGAGTCCGGCCTCTTTTTCGGTGTGCAAGTTTGGCGACACACTGATGGAGCGCTGGCTGGAGCAGCGCTGCTGGGGAGGAAGGTGAAGGACACGAGGGAGGAAGAAGGAAGGAAAGGGGAGGAGCGCCAGGGGTACTTACCTCGCTATGGTGGCAGCCATCCTTATCACCTTGGTGGGCGCTGCAGCAAGGAGTCCCCAACCGGGGAGAACCACACCAAGAAGCTTCAAGCCAGGGTTGGGCATGGCGGCCTGAGCTAGAGCAGCCATAGTTGCTTTGGGTTGTCCTTTGGGCATCTGGGCAAGGCCTAGTAGTCTGCCATAGCCTCGGCCTATGAGAGTGAAGAGTGGGGAGGCGGTGTCGAGCGCATCATTCCGGCACCGCACAAGGGCAGCGCGGGACCCTCCCGGTCGGGTCACGCAGGACTTGGTCTAAATCCTCGCCGCGAATGTACACGGAGCTTCCGCAAGCCGCTCCGGCCGAGTGCGCCAGCCATACCTCCCGCGAGCCCCTTCGACAGGATAGGGCCTACGCGAGGCACGACTTCCCTCCACCTTACGGGAGTTGTCACCTCCCTTCGGTGGGCGTATCCCCGCCGAGCTACCAGTCCACAGTATGAAAGCTGATCAGTTGCAAAATCGCAGAGGTGGACCAGCCGAGGGCGTTTCTCGTTCGCTGTAGCATAGGGGGTACGCGCGGTAGTGCGCCTCTATCGGACCCGCACGCGAACCGACATCTTGGGGGGCTGAAGTCCCACACTCCACGTGCACACCACTATAAAGAACATAAAAAATAAAACACACACACACACACCTATACATATACAGAGCGACAACGTTCCTAGTCCCTTACTGGACATCCCCTAACTTTCCCATGCGGAAATCGGATAGGCGTCGCGCGCAAGACTTTGTATAAAACAGCGCGGACGCAAGACCTACTCATATTGACTCGCATGCAAGCGTGCGCAAGCAGGCGCAATGATGGCGTACTATATAGCGCCTATGATCAAGCGGTCCCTCGTGGATCCGAGTACCGCTTATGACACTCAAGTGTCAGACTCGAAGTATCGTGATGGTCTGATCCCTCACGATATTGCACGGCTGAAGGAATAGTCGTGCGGCCGCCGCCAGACCTCCGGCCTTTGGCCTGAGTGTCTCGGCAGGCAAGGCAAATAGGCTCTGTGCGGGGGAAGATTCCTTCCATGCAGAGTCTAGGGTTTGGGATGTCCTGGACAAGGACCTCGAATCCCGGCCCAGGACCAACGTTCGACTAAGAAAACTCTTAAAAAGTATAAAACAAATAAGGGAGGTTTTAGCTTTTTCTCTCAGCGCATAATATGTCTAGCCCCTGTGCACGTCCACAATAGACCGCATGAACATTCAAGCCATAAATATATATATATATATATATATATATATATATATAAGGTCATTAATATAGGACGATCACTTCTCACAGTCATAGTGAGACTCCTCTCAGCCATAAATATATCTGCATGATCGCAGGCAGTCAAATCCAAAGTCCGAAACACCATATACCTGCAAAGTCCGGAACACCATATTCTTGCACTACACGGGGTCAACTTCAACCATTCTCTGCGTTCACACCCCTTGCTTTAGCCATACAAACCTCAACCTCAGTGCACCCTCCCAGCAATAAAATACTCAGTATCTTTGTTAAATGGCCATTCAATAAAGTCCGGGTAAAAACACAATGAAACATTTCAAACCACAGGGCTAAAGCCTTCAGGTTGAGTGGCAAGAGTGAATTGGAGTTGAATCGTAAACCGACGAATCGGCAACCGACCTGTTATCAGTGATAACAGAAGATGATCCTTGTAGGACCAAGCTGAATCTAGCCCAAATCCTGAATCAGTCGATCAAGAGGACATGTAACACAAGACAGGCCAATCCCCAGGCTAGGTCTATAAGTCCATGGAGAACAATCTCCATATCATGGTGTCACTCAAGACCCTCCTGATTAATTAAGTCTGAATCTACCTCTAAGCAAGTGTCGAAGCAAAGGTAGACTAATGGCAGAATCTCTCCTATTCAGGGTGGATCGCCAGAATCGCCACCTGTCAAAATATAATCTATCTCCTTTAAACTAAGAAAATTTCGACAGCGCTTCCCGTAGGAAAAGTACCTTTCCAGAATTTATATCAGCCCAAATACGAAAACAGGAATAGTCTTCAACTTTCCAAAGTTCAAATTTTGTCTAAGTCCCTGAATTAGTAAAAATTTGGGCAGCACTCCCTTTAGAAAATGAGACCTTCCAAATTTTTACTGAGCCATATATGAACTTTAGACAAGTTGAACTTTGAAAAGTCAAAAAGTTGACTAACTCCTTGGATTTGCAGAAATTTCGGCAGCGCTTCCCGTGGACAAAGTAGCTTACCAAAATTTATACAAAGCCAAGTATAACAATTATCTCAGAAAGTGCAAAAATCGATCTAAGTAAAATAAAGTTAACTCAGAAAATGCAGAAATTGAAACTAACTCCTATCGCTCTAGCATGTGGCGAGCCACTAAAGCGACTACCTATCAAACTAAAACTCAACTAAGTAGTAATCTCACTCAGCCACATGCAAGCCAAACCACAAAGGTAAGTACTCTCACCAACCCAAATTACCTTTGGCAAACAATAGTTCATAGTCTCTCAATGGTTTAACCCCTTATACCCTGCTTACATAGGGCATTGAGTTTGGTCATTCGTCTTAGAAACAATGCCAACTCTTTGCCTTACTTATACACGAACAAGTTGCACAATTACTTCTCTCTTCTTTGGGCATATGACTAAGTCATTCGTCTTAGAGACAATGCCTAGTCGCCCCTAACTGTTTAAATAGCCAAGTTATATATATTTCTCTGAACTTAATCTTCAAAAAGTGAGCGTAGGGTTGAGCCATTCGTCTTAGAAACAATGCTCAGCCTGCCCAAGTTACCTTCAGTTATAACTCTTAGTTATACTCTGTTCTCTTGTGATAAGGCTATAGTCAGACCATTCATCTTAGAAACAATGTCTGGCCAACCTTGTTCTCATATAAATATATAGATATAGAATTATAGAGAATCCTATTCCTTTGTTTTCATTATAGCCCTGCGGCCTCAGACTCGGACCATTCATCTTAGAAACAATGTCTAGTCCTTTGGCCTGAACCTCCCTCAAAACAAAACAATCAAAAGAGTCGAGTCATTCGTCTTAGAAACAATGCTCAACCCTTTTTTTTTTTTGCACTAAAAAAAAGCAGAGTACTCTGGGTCAAAACCCAGAGACTGTTCAGAAACCACCCAAAATAAGCAGCGACCAGACCATTCATCTCAGAAACAATGTCTGATCCTCAAAGACTCAAGCAATCAATACCCCTAAAAAAAAACAGCCAGGCCATTCGTCTTAGAAACTATGCCTGGTATAATCAAATAAACACAGCGACCAAGCCATTCGTCTTAGAAACAATGCTTGGTCCTTCAGAAAACCGAACAAAACACAGCAGTCAGGCCATTCGTCTTAAAAACAATGCCTGACCCTATAAGACCCATTCAAACACAAGCAAAACTGCCTTCCTCCCAACCTTCCTCCTGATGCAATCCCTTGTGACAGTCTGATTTTAGACAACAAGAAACCGAAACTGCCATTATACATGCATTCCTTTACTTAGTCCGATTTGTGTCATGAAAGTCGAACTAAAGTCAAGTAGGGCTGCATACAACATACTCAGCCAATACATAGGGAGATGTATAGATAGGGGTTACACTGGGTTTATGAGGGAAAGCAATGATTACCTCTTAGTTCCCTGCCTCCAGAACTCCTCTTGAGTT